GCCGAGGATGGCTGCAAAAGCGCCAGAATAATGCCACCATTTGCCTCCAGTACCCTGTATCCTCACTGGCTGTATATGCAGGTTTAGGACATCGTCATTCCACAGTCCACATTCCCGGATTGTCGTTGATGCATTCAAGACTGATCCGCAGGGGTGAATCAGTCTGCCCCTGTCGACTGACAGAGCACTCTGTGCACGTTGCTTGAAGTTCTCAACATCGATATCCAAGCTGGTTTCGAGAGAGACTGTTCGACCACTCAACAACCTTACACGAAGATCGATCGACATGATGCAGGCTGGGGCCCCGTCCTCGCCTTGGATATGGGCCTAAACGACAAGGCATGCGTGGGAGTCTCCGAAAGTTAGGCACCTTGCTTGTAGGAGTCTTTATGAAAAAGAATGATACCTGATTAGGAATCGGGACCCCTATTTGTGGAAACTCCATTTCGGGACTATCAGCAGTCACGGGCTGCTCGCTCAACCCAACGTCACCTAACTCTGAAAACCCAGATCCCTGCATGAAACACCACACGTGCTTTGCATGATACATGGTAGCTCCAGAAATAGAAGGCCCCAATATAGCCCCCAATATCGTAAAAGCATTATCATAGGGCCTCCCAAAAAGGACCGCCCAAATTTCTGGAAATCCCCATGTGAGTTTTTCCAAAACCCTGAAAAACTAAGGTCCCCTCTAACGGCTCCTATACAGCAATTGGAATGTATTGGGATCCATGTTGGAACCCCCGATTTTTGGAAGTTGTGTAGGAGCTCTATTTCCGGTCCCTCAATCGGGACACAAATACACACCCACCAAAATTCCTAAGGAACCCTGTATACATTCACCAAGGACCGTAATAGAACCATACCTCAAACCCTACAGCGTCCATGTAAAATCCCGATAACCCCTGTAAACTAGTTTAGTGAACCCAAGACCCCAAACTTAATGGTTCTTAGTAGGGAATCTATCTGTATATGTATATATATATATATGTATATTTTTGTTCCATCCTTACATACATACTTATACATATGAGTTCTAGTCTGAACTCCTAGCACTTAATGACTATATTTCATATGTTCATAACCCCAACAGCGTCTAGATCATGCCAGATGATCCATGGTTTCTACAGTTTAAGGTTTATGGCCTCCTGATTGGACACCCAGCGTATACGCTCACCAATATCCCTAGAGAACCCTATGTACACTCACCAAAAACAGCAATAAAAGCCCTATGCATATAACCCCGAAGGAACCCCTAAACTCTAAACTCTATACGTCCCCATGTATCGCTATACGGTGGACACTACAATCCTGCATGACCCTAAGCACCTTACACCCTGGGAACTATGGGATTATAGTATTCTATGGTCATGCCGGGTTCCTCAGTATCAGCAGTAGCACCCCCTAATTCCCTATGCAAGCTAAAAATCATAAAATCCTAGTCTATATACCCTCAAAGCAATTAGTTCAAGCGCTCTTAGGCTTCTAGAAGACACCCCAAGACCCAATACCTACGGCGGGTTCCCCATTAAGGCTTCCTCCTAAAGCCCCCAGAGTCCCCACACCCAAGCCCATGAGGTCAGCACTTGTCCAGCATGAGAAAACCCTTTGGGATGATAAAGAGAGCTATGACCTCAGCAGCGATTTGGGCTTTAGGGCTTTAGGGGTTTAAGGCTTTAGGGTCTTAGGGCTTTAGGGGGTTTAAGGCTTTAGGGTCTTAGGGCTTTACGGGTGTAAGGCTTTAGGGTCTTGGGGCTGTAGGGGTTTAAGGCTCTGTTGAGTTTAGGAGTCCATGGCTTTGGGGGGTTTAGGACACCCTAAACCCTTTACGGCTCTTGGGAGTCTAGGAGGTCCGTGAGTGAGAGGTACCCAGGTTCCTTTGAAAGACTTTATCGGGATTCTATAGGTTGTGGTATATGGCAGTGGGGTTCAGGTTTACAGTTTGGGTTCTATACTTCTGTAGGTTGTTTCATTGGGATGTGGAGGCTTTAGGGTTCAATCATGGAGAATCACACGGAAAGAAAACCAAAAAAAAATAAATGGACACCGGCATTCCATTTTTGGATTCATAGAGCTTTGGGGGTTTGGTATGGATTTAGGGTTTACAGGGCCTCTGAATGAAAGAGGGTGCTACTCCCACAACACAGTGGATGGAGGAAACCCTGCACCACTTAAGATGGGCTTAGGGTTTAGGTAAGATGCACGATGCGCTCCAATTCCTGGGTGAAAAGTGTACAGAGCGGTGTAAGGCTCCGTCCACAGTATGACTTGGATAGGTGCAACCCCGATGTAACCCGGCTTCCATTTCATGGTTGATTTGATTTTCCATTAATTACTGGGGTGACCATCCCATTCCTGACACTAAACCCGAACAACTAATGAGACTAACAATCCTGCATGATCTCAATAATATACTCAAATACCAAAATTCCCAAACCCTAAACCTTAAACCCCAGAACCCTAAAACCAAACCCTATTCCCAAGGTATAATGGTACTTAGGGTCATGCAGGAATTGTAATATCCATTGGGTCCTGCACCCACCTATGGTTGTACATAGCCCTTAATCTTACCCCTAGTATAGGCTGTTACTGGGTGGGGGCAGGACCCGAAGTATCCACCGTATCCCGCAGGACTTTTGCAAAAACACAGCACCTGAGCAGGGAGTAAAGGTACGGATCCCTGTAGCCTCCCCTTTTGGGTTTGAGGATTTTGGTATTTCAGGATTTAGGGTGTAGGATTTAAGGTTTAGGATTTAGGATTTTAGGATTTAGGTATTTCAGGATAGGGTTTAGGTTTCGGGCTTAGGATTTAAGTATTTTAGGATTTAGGGTTCAGGTTTAGGGGTTAGGGTTGAGGGTTTTGGGGTTTTGGGTCCCCCCCTTTCCGCACCTGGACCCCAAAAGTAGGTCAAAGAATGGCCCAAAACCAGTGAAAACAGTCAAAAAGCAGCCAGCGTTCTACATACTTTCAGGTCCAAGTAACCACCAGGGAGAAGCTGGGTTTGGGAAGCTTTCTTGCTCCGAAACCATCCAAGGCTTGAAAAAGCGTCGAACAGACCCCCTTCAGCTGCTCTTATTGAAAATCTGAATCCAATGGCAGGCCGCCTGAACATTAGGATCCCGACTTATGGACCCCCTCTCACTCAACCTCTAAACCCTAAACCTTCCAGAACCCTCACATGGAACCCCTAATCCCTGAACTCTGAACTCCCCAAAAGCCTCAAAGGAACCCGTAATCCTTAAATCCCCCCAGAAAACTCAAAGGAACCCTGAACCCTAAACCCCCAA